ATTATGATGATTTCTATGTAAATGTAATAATCAAAACGAAAGATAAAGAATTTTTACTTGATATTATAGATAAAATAACAAATCCAGAATGCAAAAAATAATATCTAAATAGATTAAAAGATTTAATATTACAAGAAGAAAAGTTACCTAAAATAATAGAACCGTATAATATTTCAAAATTGTTAGAAAAATACCCTTCTACTAACAACATAAAACAAAGCACTACAAAAGATTTACAAATAGAAATAAATAATATGAAAACCCAATTAAAACAATTACAAAATGAGATTGAGAAAGACCATCCTCTTCTTTTCAAAATATTTTACCTTCATGACAATCATATTCATATTATTTTGAATCCATTATTTTGTACTTAAATTCAAAACACCTATTCCTGAATCGATTCAAAATCCCTCAGATTTTTCACCAGCTCATTCTCAAACAAAAGAAGAAATTAATGTTTTGACTCTTGCCAATTTCAAAAATTAATTTTTAATATTTACAAGAAGATTTTGATGAACCAGAAAATGAAGCAAAAAGAATTTATTTTCAAAATTAGAACGGTCATGCAGGGGAAAGGTTAAAAAAGAAATGGTAAAAAGAGATGAAACGAGAGCTTTTAATTTTCCATTTTTTTATTTGGTTAGCATATTATACTTCAAAATTAGAAAAACCTGTTCCTCACTCCTTATCCCTTTTTATCTTAGCAGTCATTTTACTATTTATAATAGTTATTCTACATGTATCTATACATCCTTACTGGAACAACTAGAGCACTATGTCTGGAACACCCTAATTCTCATAGGCTTACCAACAATTTTACAAACTTACTAATGTCTTTCCAATACTAGAATATAATGTAGTGCTAACTATTATAAATGCAGAATGAATGACAAAAATAGAATGAAATACTAACTTGGCTTTGATAACAATTCCAAACAGGACAGACAAATAGAATTCAATGGATGAAATTAAATGAATGGAAAAATTTTTTAATAAATGGCCATGGAATAATCTTAAGCAAAATAAACTTTATCAAAACTTTTGAAGAATAGTTGTTGAAAGTGGAACAGATGAAGACTTGTATTGATTAAAAATTTTGCAAGATTGAAGCCTCAGAGAATGTTTGGTCTAAACGCTCTCTCAATACGCTCTGCCTTCTTTTTTGATACATCAGAGTATCCAGAGACAAGGATACATTTTAATTTAAATTGCATTTGTAATGTCATTTACATTTCATTAGCATGCTGACACTTGCATTTGAATTTACATCTTATCTTCATGCCAACATCCTTGGCATTGTCGTCAACACGTTAAAGTTAAAATAACTTTGTCTACCATACGTCATTTGGGTCTTGTGCACAGGACCCTCCAAACGAATTTGAGTTGGATCCAGCAGACTGTGTCTTGTCTTTTCTTGTTGTTTAGTTCTAAAAAAAAAATCCAAATACTATTGAATAACCTAGAGATTCTCCATCATTTTGTTGAGAAGAAATTCATGTCTGGCTGAGAGTTGGAGCTTTTTTTGATAGGAGTCTTGGATTTAATTTTTGTTTTATTTTTTTGACACATTTTTGATATCTCATTTGATTTTTTCTCCTGTTTGAAGAAATTTCACATATTTTCTTGAGAATAATATTTTGTTGAGAATCCTATCTATGATTTGATTTTGAATTCATGACATTGGCAAGGGTTTTTCAAGATATTGAATGACTTTGTAACTCCAGCAAAATATCCAAGGGACTTTGAATTCAAGGTGAAACATGATTGACTTTGAATATAGTTCTCCTTGAGCTTTTCTCATACAAATTTAAATTCTCATATTTCCTTCAGGGGGTAGAATTTCCTTTTGAGGTCCAAAATATGTCCACGAATGATAGAATAAAATTAAGAATTCTCAATCACAATTTTTATGAAAATGTAAAAAACCATGAATGGTCAAAAGGCCCAAAATAGAAAGCTCTATACCAAGCCATTTTGTCATTTTGTAATATTGATATGTATAGCCATCTGAAATAAATTTGACCGAAAATCTTTTTTTTTTTTTTTAAATAGAGGGAAGTCCATTGATTGGTCTTACAAACCTTTCTAATAATGCATTTTGACAAGGTTGTAACATTTGGATTTCTTTTATCTGGTCTATGATATATTTTGATAGAATTTGAATCAAGAAAAATGAGTTCAAAATCTTAAAAAGTTTCTGAGTCATCAGGACACCATTGGTATCCATCAGGAAAGATCCTTCGAGTAAGGGACACCAATGAATTATAAGGAGGAGTTTCTATGAATTTTGGTGAGTGTGATATGATGAAAAATTGTTTTTAAGAAACATAAATTGTCATTTGAAGTTTGTTTTTCCGGGTTTTGCTTTAAAGAAGAGGGATTTGAGGATACTAAATTTTGAGCAACTTAAGCATAGGAGAGTGGGGGAAAATCAAAAAGAATTTGAAATCTATTGGAGTATGAATTTGAGTAAGAGGCATTTCATAGTCCTTAACGGACTGAGCTTTTGAATAATCTTCTTTGAAGTTGTTTATCCTGCAAAGATTTAATAAATAGTAGAAGATAGTTCTATGAGTTCTTCTCTAACCCACTCTCTATAATGAGGAATCTCTTCTCCTTATTTTTGAAATCAATGTTCATTGAGGAGATATCAATGAACATTTCTCATTCACAAAAAACTTTGAATTTGTAATATTAGAACAGAATTGGAAGGTTTCAAGTGAACTCGAATATACTTCTGAATATGGTGAATAGCGATGGACTGGCCTTCATCAATGAAATATTTGAATTTGTAATTTTGAATACGTTTTGCTTTGTCTTCGACAATATTGTAATGAAATCTAAGTTGAGTAATTAGATCGTCCTTTGAATCCATTTCCCTATAAAAATTCTCTCGTTAAAAAGTCTAGAAGAGAATTATTTTCTCCCCTTATGAGCTCTGTTTCAAATCCGAATACTGAGAATAGTTTGCCATCTGGTCAAAATTTGTTTTGAAACTATATTTTGAAGTTCCTTTTATAAAATTCTTTTGCTAATTTACAATCAATTCTTAAAAGAACTTTTTTATTATATAAATAATCTTGAAATTTTGAAATGCAAATTTCTATGGACAAAATTTCCTTTTTAATAGTGGAATAATTCCTTTGAGAATCTGACCAAATTCCAGAATGAAATCTTACTAAGGGTCTGTTTGATAACATAAAAAAGTGCTGAATCTGAATTTTTTCAGACATTCAGATGTTTTGAGTGTTTGATAAATGAAAATCTATTTGCTGAACTTGTTAAGCAGTGCTTAACCTGTGTGTATTTTTTTCAGCACAAGAATCCTAACTGAATGCTTAATTCTGATAAGAATCAATAGAATTACTTCAACTACCTTATCTTATCTACCAAATCTACCCTTGTTTGTTAATTATGTTCAAAATTCTTATCTAATTAAACAACATAATATTCTCTATCTAACGATTTTTAGTTTCTCTTTTCTCCCTTTTTAATGACTTTCACATCTTCTCCATACTCCTAATATAATATATTTCATCTTTTATATTAATTTGATTTAAAAATAAATATTGTCATTTTCATACCTAACAATTTTAAACTAATTAAATCATAGATTCTATTTCTTTTTTGAATGAAAGGATATAAGGGCAAAATTGTCAAATTAAACTTATTAAGCATTCAGCTATAAATATTTATCAAACAGCATAAATAGGTTTAGCATTAAAATTCAGACATTTATATATTTTTTTCAGTACTTAAAATTCAGCAAATTAATTGTTTCAGTATTCAGATTTCAGAATTCAGACTTCAGAATTCAGATTCAGTTTTATCAAACGGAACCTAACTGTTTATGAGATGATTCTATCTTTTATTTTAATATTCCTCCATATCTTAATTCTGATGCATCTGTCTTGACTATCATAAATACACGAGGGTGGAATCCTAAACATCACAATGATTTTTAATTGAATATGCGAACTACATGGGTATGTTGATCTGAATATGCTAGAGGGTTCTTTTGTAACCTTTGTAATGGTACACACAATTTTCTTAACTTTGATAAAATGCCTGACACATAATTTAGACATTCTAAAAATCTTTGTAACTGATTTTTATCTGGGAATTTGTTTGCAAATTTTAAGGCTCTTTGAATGGGTTTAATTGTTCCTTGGCAAATATCATGACCTAAAAATGGTTCCTTAGTTTTGAATAGAAGCCGAAACAACCCCATAATTGGAATAAATTATGCAAACAACCCCATAATAATTCTCTTTTGTGGCTCAGGAAAATTTCAAATTTGAATGTAATCAGTGACTGATTGTAGAAAAGGATGCTAAAACTACTAACCGTAGATGATAACTAACCAAACAAAATTCTTTTTCCTAACCAATAGTTTTCTGTCATGTAATTGTTTGTTATGGAATAAAACAATGATAAAACTAAACAGAACTTTTCATATTAAATACATACCATCCGACTGACAAGAGAAAACGTTGTCATCTAGAGACGGCACTATGACCATTATGCCACGTCTAAGTAGGTCAGTTTAGAGGGTAAACTTGGATGATCCCTTGTTTCAAACCCAATAATATACTCTTTTTTTTTTTTTTTTGGCAAGGAAAAATTGTGTAGCTCAACCTATATTCCAACTTGGATTTATTTGTTTGAGCTCAAAGAAAAGCTTCATTTGTTTGCCCGAATAAAGAAACGGGGGGAACAAAACAGAATTCCAAAACCAAATTGAGATGAAAATGGCTGGTAAAAAATTCTCACATGATTCACTGACTCAACATCTACCACGCAGTTTGGTTGATTTTCTGATTTTGGTAGATTTGATCTCCTGAAAGGTAAAATTTTTAAACAATATGAATGGCCAGTAGCATAATGCATAAACAGTCTTGCTGTCTAGTAAACCTGGCACATACTACCTGAACTGAACGGCATATTAAAAATAGCTGATGCTTAGCAAGTTAAACATGACTCAACCGACATCATTCTGTACAACTACGGACAATTAGCTTCATTTTATACGGTTCAAGCTTACTGTTTTCTCCTGATGATTGTAACAATGAGCAAGTCCTCCAACATTGATGTTTCAATGGCTAGCTGTTCATGCAACTTGCAATAGGCATTCCCTTTTGTGCATCAGTAATCAAACTTGCACAAGTACTTACACTGTCAGCATATTTATACACAAAGCAACTACATGATATTGGAATTTAAATGGTATAATCTACCAATAGCAAGCTGAGATTAAGCTTTTGTCGAGACAAATTTAAAGGGGATCAGTAGACCTCTTGAGCAAAAACAAAGGCCAGCTTTCCAGCTGCAGCAGGACTGGTGTATGATTTTCTAGTTAGTTTACTCGTCTCTGTACAGAATCTCGCGCGTCCAAAAATTCTCCTACATAATTGCAGCCAATCCAATAGCATCCCCCCCATCAGTGAGGTTGGATTCTGGAGCAGGACCCAAATTGCGAGGTCTCCCTGAACATACAAGTTATAGCTTAAGATAATTGTGTTGCCAAAATCTAACTCTCAACCACACCTCTGGAATGGGCGTGCCGAAGCATCAGCAAAATGTAAGAATTTGTACCAAGCTTTTTAGTGTAATCAACTATGTGCGCCAGAAATAGGAAGTTGATTAAATACTTCTGCAATAGAATAACAGCCTTTCTTTCAATGTTAATGGGAGTCTTGCCCCATATATGACTAAAACTAGAATGACTGTGAAGCCATTGGATTATTGAACTACAGTGTGTTGGAAACTCAACTCTTAAACATACCAAAGAATCTCAAGGCTGCTTTCAACCTACCTAAGGCTAAATTCATGTACAACTACAGCTAACCAAATCACAGAAGAATAGATTGCTCCCAAGTGAAGGACCAGGGTAAAAAATTGTAAACATTAACCGAGTGAACACTTATCTCATCCTCCCCTTGCAGGTTTGTGTGCAGGCCACATTAATTTGTTCAAACAAAGGTCATGAAGATTTACTACTGAAGCAAATAGAGAAAGAACCAATGTGTAAAGTGATCTTACCTGAAACATTGGAAATGACAGTTGCACTTTTCTGAGAAGCTAGTGCTTTTAACTGGTTTCCAGTAGCTAATAACAGGAAGCTCTTCATATGCTGCTTCTGCTCCTTGGGACTACTTGTTTTTGACAAGGCTTCTTGAAAAGCAAGAAAATCTTGTTGGGTAATGCAAGGAAGAGAAAGCAAAATCTGTATCCAAGCAAATATGTTTAACAAATTAGCCAGAAACACTTAAAGTTAAGACAGGAAGTTGTTTAGACTCTCAATACTAGATACAAACACATTAGATGCATGGAAATAAATCTCACCTCCCTAGGAGCAGGGTCTCTATCAGAGAGATAAATGAAGATTTCGCGACAGAGACCAACTAGGTCAGCATTGATTATGGCATTGGATTCAAGGGCCAATCCTTGGATGATTGCAGAAAATAAATGTTTACAAACAAACTCTTGAATGTCTGCGTTATTGGTTACAATTGAAAGAAGAACGACGGCTCCGCAGAAGAAGGCAACTTTTGTGACAGCTTCAGCATCTGTCCATCTAAAAGCCTCCAAACTGATCTGCAAAGCAGGCAGAGCAAGGCTTTTGTGGTTCAACAAAAACCTGAAAATAAATCAGAATTTTCAGAGAAAAAAGTAAGAGCTCAAAGAATAACATGTAGCCTAAACCCCATAAAAACAAAAAACACAAAGCAACTTTTCTTAAAAAAACTATGCTTCATGCTTACCCAACCATAGAGCTTGAGACGAATGCATCTAAACCTTTAAGATTAGATACATCAACTCGGGCAACCTGCCCAGACTGTTCCAGAGAAGGAAGCCCAGAATTGAGTCCTGATGAAGCAAGAACAGAAAGGAGTGAACAAATCTCACGAGTCAGATCTCGAAGAAGCTTTTCCTCCATTACTTCCACTTTTAAGTCTGACCCTGCTGGTATACCATGGAGATCTGGAACCTTTGCATGACCTTCCTGCAATAAACTAGACCATGAGCTGCTAAGTGCCCGCTGACTATGGAAAAGTAACGGATGCAGAAGCTTTTCCATCCATCCCTCCCACAAATCTGAAGGACAGCACCTCACTAATGGAATGATACTTGAGTGAACAAGCTGCCGTATATGCCTGAACTCCATTGATTGTATATTTTCCATCAATGCTAAAGCAATGGAATCGGAGTCCAAATATTTGAAAAAAGAATCTTCAACTGTTGCTGACAAACCAAGAACGTTATACCTAGAGCCAGAAACTGCATTAATACAGCAGGCATAGATACGAGTAAACCAAATTCCATCCAACAATTGGAAAACTTGCATAGCTCCATCCTTTTAAGCAGCAGTAAAAAGCACTTTTCAAATAACAACTAAACATTTTTCACACACTGTTTCTTTTTAGCACAGTCTCAATGTCCACAATCTTAATGCAAATGTTATTAGAAGTTATATGCCAAAAATAGTGAGAAATGTTATCACATAAGAAGATACTGTGATTCCAAAAAATGAAAACCCCCATTGTTTCTAGAATTCCCAAGTAATTAAGGTATTATTAACACAAAAAGGGGTGCATTAGACACCTCTTCTACTAATGTGTAACGTGATATACTGGATGGATGTCCTCAATAATAAGATGTCAAAATATAGCTCATGACAGATAACCACAAGGATCATGCAACTATGTTACCGGCATACGATAAATGGTTGTATTTTAAAGAATTAGTAGGTGAAGTTTAAAGAATTAGTAAGAGAAGCAGTCGATGGCTTAAGTGCCTAAGCTTCAGTAAAGACTCTCAGTGATACTATAAAGTGAGGAAGCAGAAAAGTGAAAAAATAAGGTTCTTATGTACTAAGAGTGAATCAGTTGTCGTTAAAAGGTAAATTGCAATCCGAATGAACTACTGAGATCTTATATACCAGTTACATTGCAAAGGTCATTGTTTCAGAAGATTAGTGAACATACCCACTGTCCCTGATACCTTTCAGCCAATTCCTTATATCTATCTCAGTGGGATCTGAATGGCCTTCCTTGTGCATATCAAGCTGAGAGCCATCAGAAAACGTTAAAGCACTTCTAGGCAATCTAAGACTCCCTTCGCCAAGAAGACTGGTTCTTTCAACATCACTCATGATCATTGCTCCTTTTACTTCTGCAGGTAATGCTTGAGCAACAGGTGGAGACCAAAGAGAATGTACAGCACGCAGCAGCTAAGACAGAAATTTGAAAGGTGACTTAGGTATTAAAGTCAAGAAAATAAAAATCTTGGAATGGACAATTACACCAGTTTCATGACAATTTTTTTTTTCCTACATAAACAAAGAAAGCGTATATAGGAAAAAGCCAGTTAACATAACATGCTTACTTTAAGGAGAGGAGGCAACATCCATGATATATGAGAAGCCATTGGATGCAAAGCAGTTGAAATATTTTGCAAGTTGAAATTGCCTTTTCTGACACCGCTTCTCTTCAGTGCCCTCTCAAAGAAAGTCACTGTGTGGAAGAGCGACCACATAAATGATGTCTCTGCACAGAGACGGACTAAGCCTGCAGGTTCAGACAGATATGCTTCCTGCCACTCTACCTGTGTCCACTGGTTACTCAAAGGTTCAAGCAACCATGCCAACACTTGTTGCTGCTGTTGAACTCTGCATCATGGGATTTACAAAATAGTACCATTAAGTACCAAATCTCAAACAGTCAAGGATAACAAAATAAATAGGGCCCCAAATTAAGTTAATACCCCGCAGAAGCAGCCATGATCAGAAATGCTTCAGCTAGAAGGTTATGCTCTCCTCGAAGCAAAGTACCCTCCTTCTGCAGATATGCCATTGTGTCTGCAATCCCCTGCAAAATACAATAGAAGACGTTAACTAAGTGCATTTTGGAAAACATGAAGTTGAAGGATATGGAAAGAGCAGTCAGTTCAACATCTTAAAGTCATTAAACATATATAATAAGGCATATTCATAGTAATACCCTTAATGCTTATCCATAGTGGAGCCAACACTACAGCTTACAAACATCCTTCCTAACTTCTATGTTTTACCTAGTGTTTACACTTACCTGAATCAGAACATTAACCTTCCTAACTTCATCTCTTCTTTTTTCCGGTAGAAAAAACAAAAGAGTCCAAGAGAGGTAGCACAAAGGCACTGGAATTTCTAATGAAAAACTGGAAAGTAGGTGTGCAGCAACAAGCCACTTTAGTCCTAAAAACTTGTATAGAACAAAGCATGTTCTTTCTTACCAACATGGTAGAAGGAATAAGTTAAATAAGACTACAATTTCCTTGCATGGAAGATTATTATGATTATAAAGACTCCAAGGAGGTTTTTTGAATGATTTGACTAGCCACATTTAACAATTTTTTGAAATTAATCTATTTTGTTACTTGCAATGAACTCACCTCCCTACTGAAAAAAAAAATGTAATTACTTCATCAACAGTATTAGCAATGATGGCAAATCCTATATTAAAGGTGGTGTCATGTCAGAAACCTCAAGGAAGACATTTGTAATTATACAGTCCAATGGGAGATGATTAGCATTTTTCAATGAGGAAAGATTGCTTAATGTTTAACTCCAATGTACTCAAGCATAGGTACCACGAGAAGAAGCATTACACTGAAGACTTGGCATTTGTATATCTCATGCAAAACTACAAGAGATACTTTTGAGGACAAAAGCAAGCACTCAAGACCTATGGTATGCCGATAACTACGAGTTACCTTGCATGAAAAACTAAATATGATGCCTAAAGTACCTGAGTAAAAGTTAGCACTGTATGGAAAAACTTTAGAGATGCCTTTGTAAAACCATTTAGCTACAACGGCAACACTAGTCTCAACTACCAGCACTACAACCAGATGGCTCATGATATCATAATTCAGTCAGTCAAGTGTGAAATGGAAAAGGGTGTAGATTTTGTCATGAGATGTATTTTACAGTTCTATGAAAGAGATGAGATCACAGTCAAAACTGAACAAGAGAAGAAGCACGCATACAAGGAAGGCCTACAGAAAAAGTTAAAACTAGATCCCCTTTGTCTAGTACATAACAGCTTCTTACATTCTTATCCTCAGAAAGAAATGGGTACCACATAAGCTCTTGGTAAACCATCTCCCAAATTTTTTATGTTCACTAGTTCACCCTAAACAAGAATAGTGTCATTCAAGTAAGGTCAAAATTAACCAATGCATTCATGGCCTTCAATGGGAAGATGCAATTGACTCCCAAATCTGTCATGCCTTATCATCTGTTTGAAGGCCAGAGAGAAATTGAGTTACCTTCATATGTGGAAGGAGGCTTTTGTCAGCAGCCTTGGCTATTCGAATAAATGACGTGCATATCTGCAACCTCGCATGCCGAGCGGCACTCACTGAAGGATCCTGCCAACAAATGTTTTTGTAAAGCATGTCAAGCAAAGTTATCTTCAAAGTGTCCAACTGCAAATAAGTCTCTAAAAACAACCTTGACAATAAGTGGTAGAGAGGTCAAAAGCTCGAAGAGTTTATTGATTACAGTGCCGGCTGCATCTGGATAGTGCTTCAGGAAGGGACCCAATGCATCCAAGTAGCGTCCAAGAACTTGAACAAGGGCAGGCTCAATCCATTTCAAAGATAGAAGTTGCTGGAGTAGACCTTTAGTTCAAAGTGATTCAACTTTCATCATCACATCAAAAGGTACTAAAAGCTTTGCATATTATAAGAAAGTCATTCCAATACCTTCAAATATCCTGCACAAAGCAAGTTGAACTTCAGAGGGCATCCTTCCAAAATCATTTGATCCATCAAAAACTGCAATCGCAACATTTTCTAGAGGCAGCTGCATGCTTTCCATTGTAGCCAATTCCTAAATATTGAAATAGTCAGTCTTGTGAAGATAAGTATAAAGACTACTTGGCTTCCAAGCAAATATCATATCTGAAGCTGACATGTTTTGGAGTTATTCAACTGACGTAAAAATGGAAGAAAGGTCTCTAAACACAAACCTGGGCAGGCGTTGGGGCAAGTAAGAGACTCTTAACAATAGCATTTATTCTCTCAGAAATCTTAGTGGCAGCTATAAGGGGCTTCTCAGATGCAACAAATCGGATCAGCTCCAACTGTACAGAAATCCCGTTAAGACATGATGAAAACATGATAAATATAAAGTTCAAATGTACATAAATTTGGCACCAGTAGGTACATGGATTGGTAATAATCTCAGGTTAGGCAGAAGAAGGTAAAATGGGTGTCAAAGAAAGTTGACGAATCAAATGTATTTGGAAGATGAAACAGGAATGCATACAAGTCGTGAACGGTACTGGCCAAAATCTCCTTTGCCCTCAAAGTCGTCACTCCACAACTCCAGTGTCCCAACCAGAAGAGCTGAGTGAGGATGAACCTTTTCTTTCTTCAGCATGCGCTGAAAAGATGCGTCCAGTATTGCATTAAAGATGTCATCATTAACAAAAGCTAGAATCTTTTTCTTCTCAATATCAGCTTGCCCAGAACTTGAATTACTCTTTTCAACTGCATTGTCGCTGGGAAAAATCTTTGACTTGGACACCAAATCCCTCATCAAAGCCTAATCATACAATGAAAGCATGAAAGAAGTGTTCCTGGTCACCTATGATTGCATATTCAGATATTTCTAAAATATTATTCCAGAGATCATACCAGCCAAAAGAGCAGAGACTGGCAATGTAGTGCTAGTTTACAGTGTTGGAAGAATCCCAGCATCTGAAAACAATATGTGATTCACCGTGTGTTAAAGGCAGAAAACAAATTTGCCAAAGCACTCCAGCATATAACAATGACACAAAATATTTGCACTATTTATGTCAACAAACAAGCAGAATATTATGCCAATAGGCAACATCTGCTTCATGACATAAAAGTCTGAGCAACTTTCCTTAGTGATTGAAGTAGAACTCAAATGCCATATCCACCATTGGAAGCTTACCAATCCAGATTTTTATACCAGCATAAGAAAAAGACTACCTCACTACACATAATTACTCAAAGCATCCTTTGATTGACTAAAGAACCACATCTTTCCTCTCTCATATATTGCCTCTCTATTTGGTACCATATGGACCAAGCATCAGTTCTCAAGGTAGCAATCTGTGTCTATTTTGTAGCAAATCAAATCAAGAATTATGACCAAAAAAAATTTTTTGTGTCACATTTTTCTTGCCTGACAAATCATTAGAGCTAAGGAAAACAGGAAAATGAGTCCAGCAAAGTCAACTAAGCATCATAACATACAATCATTTGCCAATTGCGGCATGGCCGGTAAAGTTGACTGTTTTACGCTACCATAAGAAGGGTGAAGTACAATATGTCTGCTGGCTGAAGTAATGACTTCTGTTTATACAAAAACTGGATGACAATCTATATGATGTCATTGTTTATTATGAGAAGACAATAACCAATCTGAAATCCATTCTACCTACTTGCTTGATTTTCAAGGCACAGACTCTAGAGTACTTATGATCCCAAGTTTCACATGATGCAAAGCTCAAGGTAGCATATCGCATTCATATCAAGTATCTGCTCCAGCAAAGACAGCAGAGAGGATTTCCAAAACAGGGGATCCATTTCTTAAAATATGCAAGAAAAGTTTTAATCTTTGATGTTAAGGGTGAATGAACTTTAAGCTGAAAATATGAATAACCTGGAACCCTAATGTCCTGTGGTTTCCATGTTCAACAGTTTTACAAATAGAAATGAGACAAAACTAAACTCCATGTCAAGATTCAATTTCTAATAATCCATCTACTCATTGAAGTAATATTTCAAAGTTACAAATTTTAATCCTTTTTCAAGTTGAATTCTTCCAGGGAAAGGGTCTATTTCCAAAGACTAACAAACAGAAGCATGAGCACATATCACCTCTTAAAAAATTAAACACATGCTTTGATGTTGTCAATGGATCCATATGCTCACATCAGTTATGGTTGTACCACTCATATAATAATTTTTAATCCAAAATTCTTACAAGCAGCAAAAAAGTTACGAAACTACTCATACTTTCGAGCTCACCCTATCATATTTTTTCCCATCTAACCCTCTATGTTTCAATTATTCATCAAGGCAAAAAACCACCTGTTGAAGATAAGAGGAAACAATTCCGGCATCACCAGCAACAGACTGCAAGTTTGAAGACCCCAAAAAGACCATACTTTCAGTGATATATTCTGCAAACTCAAATTCACTCTCATCCATAGCAATACTGGAGCTAGATTTGGCCAAGAAATCTCTTGAAACATTCATCAAGATCTGGAAGATCTGACCCATAGCTGAATCAAATTCAGAAGTGCCATCAATAGGTCGTTTTCTGCCACCCAGAATTGACAATGCTAGTTGTAAGCATTTTGAATTTTTAGATTTGTTTCTTTTCAGAATATAATGTGCTTCTTTATTTAAAGCATACCTTGGGGAGACAAACTTGAAAAACTCGCATGCATGAAGACAAAAGTCAGGAGAAGAGAGTAAAAAACCACAGCTGTTTGGAAGAAGAAAAATTAAACTCTCAAAAAGATTCAAATCTTAGAAAAAGGGTGAAGAGAGAGAGAGAGAGATAAGAGAGATCCTACGCATGGATTATTCCATATTTTGCAAGATCAGGCAAGGGAGCCCACTCAGCATATGCATTAACAGCATTTAGAGTAGCTGTTACAGTTGCTGCATGCTGTTTCACAATGTCCGACTGCTGCCTGCTTGCTTCAGCCAGTGCAGCACCAAAATGCGTCTCCAGTAACTAATTATTAAACAAGGCATCAGATCTTTTAATTAATCGAAACATCTCAGCATCAAAACAAACCCAGCCGAAACTTACGCTGTACAATAGAGGTAATATGTCGGGCAAGGACTCGGTAAGCCCACGTAATAACAGCCTACGCCTATCACCTAAGATATCAGAACTGAACTTTAGAATTAGGAGACAAACTAAGAAGGAAGCAAGAATAAATTTATTGACATTCGAAACAAGTGGCTTAGAAAAGTAACTAAGAAGGAAGCAAGCACAAATTTATTGACATTCGAAACAAGTGGCTTAGAAAAGTAAGCAAAGAAGTGGTAAAAGAACTAAAGCAACCCAAAATTTGGTTTCCCTATTATGTAATATTAGTGCAGACAAAAAGGAGTTTCTTCCATCAAGAAAAACGATATTCACTCTAAAATGAGCTCAAAGTAAAACAAGTATCTCATGGTGTTCTGTAACAGACCTTCCAAATCTTCATTATGAACCATTACATCTTCAGGAAGCCACCTTAGCATCATTGACACTATCTCTGCCTGCAATGAAAATAATATTCCTCTTTGTGATCCATATCATAGAGTATAGAAAAATGAAGTGCCAGAATAAACTAAAGCACTAAACAGGAAAATATGAAGTTTACTTGGGTAGGACCGTGATTGGACAGAGAAATTAAAGATGGAAGAAGCTCCTGCCAAAGACTCACTCCTTCTCTCCTGACTACCTGCAACAAGTACAGCAAGTAACTCCAACATTCGTGAAAGATTTACCATCAATTTGTAAAAATGAAACATAGAAACTAAATTAACACCTCAGCAACAAGAGCAGCTGTCTGACTCTTCAAGGCCCACTCTTCAGAAGGATTTGCCATTTCAGACATCAAATCAACCGCCATTTTAGCAAAGTTCCTTTTTTCTGTAGGATTGAGTTCATCCCAACGTAATCGCACCAAATGCTTCAAGTAGGATAACATTAACAGTCAGATGCAGAAAGTCCAGCTTTGCAGAGTTTAGTCAAGCCTGATACAACTGCAATGGTATTTCACAAAGAAACCTCCCAAAAGGTCATACTTTAGCGTTATCTTGGAGAAAATTTTTGTCCCTTTTTTCGTACCGAATAATTATGAATAAGATCTTGTTAGGGATCTAGTCCTTTCCTATTGTTCTTTTATATTTTTTAGACTTCTAAAAGCTCTTGTAAATAAACAAACACTTCTGAACTGGAAGCAAAAAGAATGATCCAAAATTAAAACCATATTCCCACGGTAGTCAGTTCATACATGCCTTTAAGTTAATCAATGTATAAACTTGAAATGAAGGTTTTCTTTATACCAGAACAACTTTGCTTGACCCCTGAAATAAGAGAAGCTACAATTTGGTTTTCACATTCTAAATATGTTAGATTACCTTATTCAAACAAAGATGACAAGACTTGCTTATAAATTGCAACAACTGAGATGCTGATGAAGGCAAAAAAAATCCAGAAGACTCTGGTATTAATTAACATCTGTCAAGGACAAATGCACAGAAGGGAAATACTTTGCATGCCATAAGCCAAGTGAGCCTGATAATACAACTATGATCCACCAAAAGACAAGCACTATTTGAGGTATCTACCAGCCTCACTTGACAAAATAAATATCTCAAGTTCTTTTACAATATTATGCTGGCTCAAGTTGGTAGCCACAGAAAAACTGTTCTCTTCCCAAAGTGGGACTTCTCACCATTAACACCTCTCCTCCAAAACTAAGGCATGGCATCCTTGCAGCAGACCAGCCCAAGTATAACCACACAATGTGCCCAGAAGCAAAAATCATTTTGGTATATTCTAGTATGCCCAAAGTTGTTGACAAACCTAGCCAACCACAGTCACAACCACAAAGTAAGCTGGGTTTTGTCTATCAACTTGTAGTTGGTGCAGATATTTGAATTCAGATGCATTCCATAAATCATTAAAAAGTCTTATCATCCAGATCTGGCAGATTGAGGCTCTAGCATAATTTATTCAGTCATCACCATGTCTACAAACATGGCGAAAACCTTTTAAAATACATAAATGAGAATATAGGAGCCCTATAATTTAAAATTAACTCTTCTAAAGTTTCAAAATGGGTAACAAACGTCTGATGCCCAATACGTACTGTTGTTTTTGTGGAATCCATCACAGCATTATCCGTTGACAGGAAATTCGTATCTTCTTCGGCTGTAATTGTGCATGTTCTTATTCACTCTGATCCTAAGTCTTCTTGGTGTGAGTTCACTTCTAAATCATGTGAGATTGTTGGCTGACTAGCAGGAGGGCTCGTTATGCCATTACAAGTGTGTGTTCTTGCGGATTTCTTAATATTTTGTAACATTTTCACCAAACCCAGCTAGCTCTAATTTTATCAAAAGAAAGGAAGGGATATAAAACAGCAAGACCTTCCTGGTTTCTTAAAAACAAGGGCTAAAGGAACTATAAATAAAGAACTGACCGAAATTAAAATTCCAACTACTTTCCAACAGTCAAGAATACATCCTACTTTTTAGCAGGTTAAGAGGGATGAACGGTGGAGAGGATACTCACACAGCCTTTACCCAATTATAACCACATAGTTAACTTCTTTAAGATTCCAAAGTCGGTACCTCTAAAACCAAAGGTGTGAGGTATTGCTAATATCTGCTTAACCTGGAAGCAAAAATCTTCCACAAGTTTTGCTGTCTCTTGCATATTGAAATTCTAAAACACTGACTGAAATAAAGTTTTCAAGTAAACAAAGTCAACTGGTTAAAAACGCAAGAGAATAAATTAGATAATCTAAATCATTAGAAGAAAAGAGCCTCAAAGAAACTTTCAGTCTCCCTCCCTCTTGATCAGTCCTTAGGGTGTAAGAAGAATAGATACTTAGTATAGATTCTAAACTTTTTTTTATTTTCAAAGAAGATGGTGCATATACAGGTATGAGAATGAGACCTAGAGCATTTAAAAAGCCTGCATTTTATTTTCAAAGAAGATGATGCATATATAAGTATGAGAATGAGACCTGGAGCATTTTAAAAGCCTGCAGCCGAATTTCAGAAGACCAGTCCTTCTTAACTAGAGTAAATGATGCATTTGCTAAATGACGTATATCGCCTGCTTTTACCTGTGAAACAAGATGGAAAGACTGTCAAGTCAAATACTTATTAATATACTAAGATGCTTTTTTGCTTGCAAAATAATCATGTGAAAATATTTTACAGCTATTTTACAACTTCACATTGATCAATTTGTTGTTATGCCCACACTCATCTTTGAAGTTTGTAAAAGCTGCACATGAATAAAGATAAGACCCAAAAAAAAGAGAACAAAGAGACACATGAATATTCAAGATAATTGTGTATCACCTTGAAAATAGTACATAAAATTATAATGGATTAGAACTTAATTGGTATGAATCCATAGTGTCAGTTAGTTGACAAAGTTGCATGAGCTAAAGGCAGAAATAGTTCTGAGCAATTGAGCATACGAATCCAGCAACTTTTTCCACCAAAAATATCACTAAAGAGCTTGGTCTATAGAGGAATAAAAAGCTTCTACAACAAGTACAAATCTGTATCCAATAAAAGTGAGGATGTGAAACCATACATCAAGGAAAAGTGGAAGCCGAAAGCAGAATATCTTCAGCTTTATTTATATACATTCACTCATTTTATAAGGAAAAGCTGACATTAGAGAACACACAGAGTCATATCACATGTACTTCGAGCCGTATCAAGCACACAGAACTAAAAGCAAAAGAAACAAGAACAGAAGCAATCACCAGAACAGTGCCTTAATAGCACTGAGTATTAATGCAGGGAAAAAAGGAAAGTTCTACAGTGTGCATGACACAATTCTTTCTTTCTAAGACTTCCACGAACCACCTCTAATCTTCCCCTGCCTGCACAATGATTTGCAATCTGAAGTCTCGTTTGTTCTCCATTAGTTTTCCAAATAGTCGCTTTTAGATCAAACAAAGGGGAAAAATGTCTATAATGAAAATTCTGTTGACTGAATTCATAATGCTAGTTACTTTCCCAATTCTTAATAAATACCTAAGTTAGTTAATGGACCACGGAAGGATCAAACAAATGCATCCAGACTAAGTACAAGCTGCAGTATAGAATATAGAAAACACAAGCAGTGCAAAGGGATCGTATGCATACTTCAAGTCTGCGATAATTGAATTAAAGAAGTATTACTCAACAAACTCTGCAGAACACAAAATAAAAAGAAAACTCCATGGTGTTATGTTCCAATTCTCAATGCTTGACAAAAATATATTGCTCGCCAGAATGATTTAAATTAAAATTTGCATCTGAGAATCATGCTGAAGAGAATTGAGATGTCAATATTTAGTATCAAGAAATTTCCCCTAATGGAAACTTAGCCAAAACAGAGAGAGGAACATTTAAGACAGCTCTTAAAAATGCAAAATAGAGTTTATATTAGGAATCTAGCTTCCAAATATACAAATTTAATTACTTCCCAAAATGAAGCAGTCCAACAGCATATATTAACTTCAACAGTAACAGGAAATCTCACATTAAAGAGCACTTATCATTTACAATGAACTGCCTCATCTGCTCACTTGACAGCATCTTAAGCTAAAATAGTCAAGGGCTTGAGTTTGGTTTAGGGCATTCTAAGTAGTAGAGGTAGCTACATCCAAATGATATTAAACTTTAAATAGAATAGCCAAGAAATATAGTGCAAAACAAAATAAAAAACCTCCATGCAGTTTTGAAACATTCGATTGTTCGGTCTCCTTAATAGGACGGCTTCACTCAATGTAATATCACATGCACATTGAGCTGTATCAAGCATACAGAGCTAAAAGCAAAAGAACAAGAACATAAGCAATCACCAACAGCATCCTTTCGTTCTAAGAATTCCATGAGCCATCTTTTGTTTAATCCAGCTAAGAACATGATTTGCACTCCTGAATATCATTTGTTCTCTTTCAGTTTTTAAAATAGTTACTTTTAGCTCATGGATTTTTGTTTCCTACCACCATCTTCCCTGTCTCCCACATCCTCTATCCATCTTGTCCGAAAGATACTAAAAGTTACTAAATCTCTCAGCAGATTTTCCTTTCCTCTCTGTCAACCAACCTTAGAAGCCACCGGTGCTAGCAAATGGAACAAATCTTAATCCCCTTGGACATTATTACAAACTTCCAGCCTCAAATAACTCAAATCTTAATATACTGTTACGTTTCAACGATGAACTCTGCAGAATACCAAGTGTGAAGAAACCTCTATGGTGTTATCTTTCAATATTGAGATCAAAACCTAATAACTGAGGACAAAGTATATATCCTTCTTCCTCAACAAATGTAAAGATAATATACTTGTCTGAAGTGATTTTGAACTGTAATGAATTTGCAACTGAGAAGTCATGCTGAAGACAGCTGACATGCCAATGATTAGGCTGCTGAAATTCAGCATTAAGTAATTTTCCTTACTGAATCTGAACCAAAACCAGAAAAAGAATTCAAATGATCTCTTAAAATGCAAAATAGGGTGTAGAGTAATAATATGCTAGCTTACACAGATAAGAACTAAGTGCAAAAACAGAAACAGTCAACCAGCACAATGGGAACTTCAATGCTATTGTAACCAGAATTCTTACATCAAACAACACTTATCATTTGAAGTGAACTGCTTCCCATGCTTTCTTGAAGCCATTTAAGCTAAAATCAGTCAAGGCCTTGATTCCAGTTTAAGGCATTCGTAGAGGTAGCTATGGATTAATAAAATCTAGAATTCTGAAAAGATTCTAAACATGGTGGCCAAATACCCAACCATTCCCATCATTAAGGGGACATGAGAAAAGAAGGGGAGGGTTGGGGGGGATACCCCTCACATTTAAATCATTTTTTTCAAATGCCTTATTAAGACAGATTCAGTAGGTTCAATGACGCTTAATGGAACTATGAGAACTAATTCCTTTCCCTTTTTAATTCCTTTTCAAGACAATATGCATTAACACCTAGCATACCTAACATAATAATTGAACCGACCAAACATAAAATGTGCATTTTCCACAGCTTGCCCAAAAATGTGGGGAATGGCAAAGCATTTAGAGAAAAACCTAACATTCTCGCTTCCTCCTCTTATAGGGCGCACTAACCATGTTGCAAAAACTAATAAAATAGAGAAAACGAGGATGCTTCTCTTTTGACTTTATTAATTTCCAACTTCTTAACCTCTTAACAGAACAAGAAACAATTTTACTTACCGATAAAAATATTCGTAGAACTCACTAATGAATCAATTCCCTCAGAACCAGCATGGTAATTCAACTTAACTACCAGAAGGAAAAATAAAAGGAAAAAGCAAAAAAAAATGATCATCAGTCAAATTCTCAGTAATCTCCGCTACATGTGATACCACTCTACACTTCAACTTAAAAATCACAAAAAAAAAAAAACAGAAAAAGGAAATTATAAGAAATGCAAGAAAAGGAAAAACCCCCAAAAAAATCATAAAAATTCCAAGGTTTCTTGCACCCTGGAATGACATTCTAGAGAACTCAATCTCCAACTTTCCAAAACAAAAAAAAAAAATCCACAATTGCAAATTACACCATTTTGCCTTTGTTTTCTCTTTTCAAAATTCCAGAAAAAAAACCAATAACTAGAAGTGACTGCATATACATGATTGATTGAGAATACTGATTAATCCCTTTTGATAACTTACAGATTCTAAGTAGGAATAGGCAGCTTTCCGAGCATCCCCAGAGGACCTCCAGTCCAGGGCTGCGGCTAAAGCTGCAGCAACATTGTTTACCATTCCACTGTCCTCCATCTTTATCACTCCAAACCAACTCTACCAACTTCCAAAATCCTCACCAAGAAGACAGAGTGAGACAGAATCAAGACAATCAAATTTCCACTCAACTTATAGCTTTCTGTACCAGCTTTTTGATGCTATAAAATAGAACCACAAGCTGTTGAAGATTTGTTTCTGCGTATATTGGAGAGATGAAAAAACCAATTAATCAGAAGCAGTTTGTAGGATTAATGTGTAGGAAAGTGATGCTGGTGTAAAGGGTGGTGAAATTGTGGGCTTCCTTTACTTCTTTGCGATTGTTTTTGGTCCCTTTTCTTGGATTCGTTGCGGAACTGTGGAAGAGTGGCGGTGGTGCTGAGTGGGAGAGAAAGTGGAACAGCTCAGCAGTTATAAATGGACAAATTGGCCATCCAACATAATCAAAACTAGTTGGAATAACCTTTGTAAAATGTAAATGAGTGGAATAGAAAAAAGAGTAAATATTTCATATATACTGACGTTGTAAACGGTATTAGTGTTGGATTCATGACATATGTTTAAAAATTAAATTTTAAATTCAAATTTTACATATTTGTCATTCATCAAATGCTGATAGTATTTACATTATCAGTGTAGGAAAGATTAATTCTAAAAAAAAAGAGGATAATTTTTGAGAAATGTTATTGACACTTTCTTTTTGTTATGTGCACTCTCACTATCATTTTTATTATACAGTTTCATTTATTAGACTATATGATATAACAAATAATGGAAGTGCAAATAACAAAATATGGAGTATAAATAACATTTCCCTAATTTTTTGTCACATTTTTTAGGTTAAGAAATGGGAGTTATTAGAACTTAGAAGTTATTATGAGCAGTTATTATGAGCTAATCACTTTATTGTAGTGGATCTAGTGTAAAATTTTTAATGAAAGGAAAACTATGATTCAAAAGATGAGACAGAAGTCAACGGTATAGTATTTTCTTAATCAAAAAGCCTTTCCAAAGCATAATTTTCAAAGCGGAAACTCAAGAATATGAAGACTCGGTTAGCAAAGCCCAATTTGACACCCTCGTTACCAAATTATAAACCTGTGTATTGAACTACATTCAACATGTGCTATCTTGCACTATCTTGAAACTTCACACAGCAAAAATATCAGAAAACAATTGAAATCTAATAAATATAAAAGCTATAACTTTTTGGTCTAACAAATTTCAATATTTAATGAAGAAGCAAGGTTGAAATTTGAACACAAAATGGAGAACATATAAGAGAAATTTAGGGTGAAAAACTCACATAGTTTTCAATCTAAATATGTAGAGAAATGGAAGGAAATGAGAGCTATTAAAAATTCTTACAATGTCATTTTTTGCCTGCTAATACACATCAAAATATATAAGTAGAAAGATGAACTTGTATAAGTCAAATATTAGTTTTTTTTCTGTTTTATTCTTTCTAAAAGACAAACACGAGAAGTATGACTTTACATGTGGATGCAAGTATACAGTTTGGGATAGTTCCTTAATACTTATAAGCATTTTAGTACATCATGTCACGAAGTAAAATTGTTTCACCAAAAAAAAAAAAAAAAGGCAACCCTTGCTAGGAATACTTACGTATTACTATAAAACAAGGAACTTTCAATCTACTTCCCAACTTGACAAAAAAAAAATATAGATATATAATAGAATAACTCACAAAATACTTCAAAGTGCAATTTGGTGGTAAGACGTTTCGCTTGTAATATATTGATCACAAATTCAAGTCATTGATGAGGAAAGTTGGAACCACTATTGATTCTCTTTAATTAAAAAAAAAAAAAACTTAAAAGCTACCAAGAGTAATAGTAACAAGTTGGAGCCACTGTTGATCCTCTTTAGTTAAAAAAAAAAAAAAATTCAAAGCTGCCAAGAGTAATAGAAACAAATAGTGAAGCATTTGCATAAACACCTCGTTAACATATAAGAATTTAAATCTATTTGTTGAGTGTGTGTTTTTTGTTGTTTTTTTTTTTTTTTTGATAATTGTGTTTTTTGTTGTTAAACATAGTGGTTGTTAGTAGTTCTTATATACCATGTTTTGAGCATCCTTTATTTGTAGGCGCTTAGTTGAAAAATGCATTTTTTGTTGATATTAAAAATATTATATATTCTTTGGTATATTAAAATAACTTGTTGAATTAAAAATATCATGGTTGAAGAAATGTAAGTTTGAAATTCTAATATTAAAAATTGACATAGATGAAGTGGAAGATTAAGTTTTAGAACTTAAATATAATAAGGGTAAAAATTGGAATCACATATAAGTCACAAAAATTGTAAACACCATAAGCATGCTCAATCTTTATACCTATTATGGATAGACTAGTGGTAAAGGAACATTTTATGTATGTAAGCAATTAAAATTATGGTCATTTGAATTTTTTTGGTGAATAGTTTTTCACTCTAAAAGTTATTTTCTAAAGTTTTTGATGATATGGTAAAAATTTTAATTTTTTGTATAGTGTTTAGTTATTTGATACTTGATTTTGATTATGGGACAAAACTACCTTGAAGCAATTAGTTTTATATTTGAGGCAAAAAATAAATATTTTTGGTAGGGACACTACAAAAAGAAGTTCAAAAGAGGACGAATGTGTACTAACACCACATAGTGATATTCTCATTTTATATATTTTCTATATACATAGATGGTATAGATTGTTTATTTGTGAACTATTCTTTAATGCACTACAAATTAATACAAAAATAATAACTTCATGCTTATTTTTATTTATAGAAAATAGTTGGTGTAAGTTTTCTTTACTCTATTTGGAGAATGCTAGCTATTAAAGTTATTTTGTCCCTAAAGCTAAGTATTTTAGACATTTAAGTTGTTAAAAGAGTCCAAACCTTGGGTATTTGTCATTTGAGTTAATTAAATAAAATAAGAGTGCTTAAATCTAATGGTAGTGTGTCAAAATTATTATTTTTTAGATACTTTTCTAACTTAAATTTCTTTAGTTCTTTTGAGTGTGTTTGGATTGAAAAGATTTGAAATAAAATAATTTGCTTCACAAATTCCAATTATCTTTTTATCTTTCCAATCACCTTTTTATTTCACATACATCATATCACAAAAAGTGCTATAGTAATTATCTCAAATAAATCATCCAAATAAACTCCTATCCTTAACTTGTATACATGATAGATTTGAGGTTTGGAGGATTACGAGTACCTCTAGTTCTTAGCAGAAGGAACTCCTCATAAGCTTCACATCTAGTATAGATTTGGGGTTTGGAACCTTAGAAGTGCCTCTAGGTTTTTTTTTTTTTTCTTCCCTACACGCCTCTAGGTATAAGCACAAGGAATTGACATTGTGGATTGACAAAAAGAAGAATATGAGAACATGATAAAGTTAAGGTAAGAAATGACATTTTGATGCTTGCCTTATTTGCAAGTTAGGACTTAGAAGGGTGTGTTTGGATAGGAAATTATTTGAAAATTTATTTGGTATAATATTGTAGTTTTTTTGTGATATGATTATGTAAGGTAAAAAGGTGATTGGAAATATTAAAAAATTGGTTGAAAATGTGTTTATGATATAAGTAAGATAATATTTGAAAAAAAATCTATATCCAAATATTTTTTTCTATGCTCGTTAAGTGTTTTATTCTACTTACATATCAATGCAATTGATCACCAGTGTTACAAGATAGAAGTCACCTTGAAATTTGGATTGGTGCTGCAAACTAAATTGGAAAGTTCAAATATAAACCAAAAAAAGATACTGTTCATAAAATTACAATAGAAATAATATATATATATATAGACACATATATAGTTTCTTTTCTTTTGAAATCACTTATTCCAATTATTTCTCTCTCATGGGTGGCAGGCCTAATTAAAGAGAATTAATGGGTCATTGGATACTTGACTTTGGGTTTACTCATTCATTTTCATCTAATTCTCTTCCAATCAATTATGCTTATAATTTCTCTCTCGTCCAGCAACTTTTATCTCTCTTAATAAAATTGAATTATTGTTTTTTATCCATATATGGTAACTTTACTTATTAGTTGGTGAATAATGATATATGGTAATTTGATATAATCGTTTCTTATCTCTCTTAATAAATTTGAATTATTCTTTTTTATCCATATATGGTAACTTTACTTATGAATAGGTGTATAATCGCATATGGTAATTTGATATAATCTTTTTATCTCTCTTAATATGATTAAGTGTATAATCATGTTTGTAAGCACAAATTTTGTTGCCTAAAATAAAAGACAAGAAAACTTGCACAAATATCAAATTTATTAAATCAAATAATAAGCGGGTTACAATCTCTGAAAGTTCTTGAATCAAAGAAATTAATCCCTGATTCTTTTCTTCGAATAGCTTCAATTGAAGGGCCGAAAAGACTTGTTCTCCAATCGAAAGGGTGTTTCCTACAATTTCGGCGTAGAAAACGACTGACTTGATGATGAAGTTGAACTCTTGAAACTCTTAAGTCTTCAACACCAATGGCAAGAGGATTTGTTTGACTTGATTTGGACTTGGATCGAAGGAAAAGCTCTTGAGAGAATTTGACAGAGTTTCTCCAAACGTTAGGGATTTTTTCTATCTCTTTGCCTTGAGGGAAGACCTTTATTTATAGCCAAAATATGTAGGCTAGGTCTTCAAGAAAACTCTCAGAATCTTCCTGCATTTTGGATCACTTGTTACTCAAGAAATCCATTTAACCTGGGCTTAAATAATGGACCAATCTAAATAGTCCATTGTGAATAAATCAATTAATTCACTCAATTTAAATGGGCATTACAAATTTAATTTGACTTAATAGCCCATATAATATTGGCCCAATTTGACAGTCCAAAACATAATTGACTTGTACAATTTAATTTAATTTAATCAAGATCAATTCAATTCATTTAATCTTGACTAAATAAATTTTCTTTGTCTACAAATGCCCCCACTTCAAGACTCAATTGGGACTTGCTTGTCAAGGATTGTAATTGAGACTTGAAGTACTTGATTTTTTTTTTCTTTTTAAAAAGAAAGGCCAATTCATTGGCCAATTTAAGCTTGGATTAATACATGCATCCAAGATCATATTTATGACCAAAAGTTCCCATGGTTCATGTATCACATGAGGTCTATGGCGAGGTGCAATGCATAGG